TCCCTGTAGGATGCCCTGTAGAGGTGGTTTGTGGGAAGCAAATTCCCTCAGCTTTTGCTTGTCTGGGAATTGTTTAATCCCGCCATCATATTTAAATGATAGTCGTGCTGGATACAGTAGTCTTGGTTCGAGGCCCTTCTGTTTCATTGCATTAAGTATATCATGCCATTCTCTTCTGGCCCGTAGGGTTTCTGTTGAGAAGTCTGATGATAGCCTGATGGGTTTTTCTTTGTAGGTAACCTTTTTTTTTCTCTCTGGCTGCCTTTAATACTTTGTCCTTGTCTTTGATCTTTGCCATTTTAATTGTTATGTGTCTTGGTGTTGCCCTCCTTGGATCCCTTGTCACGGGAGTTCTGTGTACCTCTGTGGTCTGAGAGGCCATTTCTTCCCCTAGTTTGGGGAAGTTTTTGGCAATTATTTCTTTAAAGACGCTTTCTATCCCTTTTTCTCTCTCTTCTTCTGGTAACCCTATAATGCAGATATTGTTCCATTTCGATTGGTCACTCAGCTCTCTTAGAATTCTTTCATTCCTGGAGATCCTTCTATCTCTCTCTGCATCAGCTTCTCTGCATTCCTATTCTCTGTTTTCTAGTCCATTCATGGTCTCTTGCAACTTGTCCATTCTGTTTTGAAGTCCTTCCAGAAAATATTTCTGTATTTTCCTTCCTTAGTTCTTGGCATATTTCTCTGCAAGTCCATCAGCATGGGTATGACTTTTGTTTTGAATTCTTTTTCAGGAAGACTGGTTAAATCTATCTCCCCAGGTTCTTTCTCAGGGGAAGATGTAGCAGATGCCAAAGCTGTCTGGGTTAGTCTTGTCTGGATCATATTTTTTTGCCTTTTCATGTTGACAGGTGCTATTGACTGTCAGCTGGGAGGACCAAACTTTTCACTTGCTACTGGCTTTTCTTTACTGGGACAACTGCGACCCCTAGTGGCTTGTGTTGGGTAATTGTGTGTAGACTGGGTCTTTGTGTCTTGCCTGGCCAATACGGAGGAATTTCCCTTTCTCTGGGCGTGGTCTGCCTTAGGCTGTTTCTCTGCTTTCGCAGTGCCCAGAGGGGTAATGGACCTGGGGGCTGTTTGGCTGTTTACCTCTGTGAGGGGTGTCAGAGCTGTTGCCCAGGGGGTTAGTGCGCCCGGTTTTTCCTGCAATTTCCAGCCACTGGGCTGTGACTTGTTGTATCCGTCCAGCTGTTATGTCCCTGTCTCTTTAAGACTTTCAAAAAGCACTCACTTTTCTTTGTCACAGGGGCATCAGCTTCGGAACCCGCTTAGAGGTCTTGCTGCCCTATTTCCCTAGTTTCCAGCCCTCCATGCATGCACTGTGTCTGCGCTCTGGTGCGGGTGGCTGGGGCTGGGTGTTTAGCAGTCCTGGGCTCCCTCTCCCTCCTGCCAGGAGCTGGGGGGAGGTGTGCTCGGGTCCTGCTGGGCCGGGGGTTGTATCTTTCACCAGGCGCTGGGCTCTTGCACGTGTGGATGTAGTCTGGCTGTTGTCCTGTGTCTTCTGGTCTCTTTTAGGATTAGTTGTATTTGTTGTATTTTCAAAAATATGTTTTTGTGAGGAGATTCCCACTCTCCTACTCACACCGCCATGTTGGCTCCGCCCCTCTTATTTTAGTTTTTGGAGGAGCTTCCATATTTTTTTCCACAGTGGCTGCACCAGTTTTCACAGTGTAGGAGGGTTCCCTTTTCTCCACATCCTTGCCAACACTTGGTATTTCTTTTTTTTGATAATGGCCATTCTGACTCATGTGAATTATATCTCATTGCGGTTTTGATTTGCATTTCCCTGATGATTAGTGATGTGGAGCATCTTTTCACATGCCTGTTGGCCATCTGTATGTCCTTGAGAAAATGTCTGTTCAGGTTCTCTGCCCATTTTTGATTGGATTATTTAGTTATTTTGGTGTTGCGTGTATGAGTTCTTTAAATATTTTGGATATTAGCCCCTTATCAGATATGTCATTTGCAAATATATTCTCTCATTCATTAGGTTGCTTTTTTACTTTGTTGATGGTTTCCTTTGCTGTGCAGAGAACATTCTTCTGTAGATTAAACCTGTTTCATGGGAGATACGTGATCATGAGCTATGTAGCATCCAGTTACTGATACCTATTGATCTTTTTGTAAGTAATAATACCATTTAGTACACAGGAAACATTTAAACAATTTAACCAATATTGGATAATTTTACTTATATTGGTGAGTGAAAATACTAAGGTAGACCTTGATAATGATAAGTACCCTGCATTTAAATAAGTTACAAGGCATTTTCTCACATATTATGAAATTTGAATTCTGACAACCACCTTCTAAATGAGATAGGTAGCTTTTATGTTATCACCATTTTTTTAATGAAAAAGGAGAACAACAAAGTAAAGTGACTAGTCTAAGTTCAAATATAGGAGTCAGCTGTTACCAGCTTCACTTTTTTATTTACACTCAAATACTTAGAAAATCAGTTACCCTTCTCTCAAAAAATCATTACTAGCTAATCAAGATCTGATTCTAATGAAATTTTTGTTAAATCGTTTTAGGCTAAACTTAAAAAATCAAAGGAAGAAACTTTGGAGGTTAGACTGGCTTCCTAAGTCTGCCCTAACAAACTACTATAAGCTAGTGGCTTAAAACAGAAATATATTCTTAGAGTTCTGGAGGCTAGAATTTGTAATCAGGGTATTGTCAGGGCTCTGCTTTTTCCAGAATCCTGCCTTGTCTCTTCCAGCTTCTGGTGGCCCAGGCTTTCTTGGTGTGTGGCAGTGTCATTCCAGTCTCTTCCTCTGTCTTCACATGGCCTTTTTTCTCCTTCTCCTCTTCTGTCTTTTATAACAACACTAGACATTGGATTTAGGGCCTACCCTAAAACCAGATGATCCTATTCTGAGATCTTTAATTACACCTACAAAGATACTTTTTCCAAATTAGGTCACATTTAAAGTTTCGGTGGGGTTAGGACTTGGACATAACAGCAGAGGTAAACAATACTTTGTTGTGAGGAATGTGAAAGAATTGAGGTTCCTCAGCATGTGGATTTAAAATTTTTTCATTTCTGAAAATTTTATTATAAATTTTTTGTTTTTTCATTAGGAAATATGCAAAAGCTGAGACCCTCATGACAGTCACAGATCCTGTCCATGACATTGCATTTGCTCCAAACTTGGGACGGTCCTTTCATATTCTAGCCATAGCAACCAAAGATGTGAGGATTTTTACGTTAAAGCCTGTGAGGTGAGTTTTCCAAAGTTATTAACTTGAAAGTGGTCTTCACTTGTAATTATTTTCATTTATGGAGTAGAGTATAGAGGCAACTGTGATCGGAGGAATGTATTCTTCAATGAACATTGTATCTATAAAAATATGACTTTAGGGGTGGGGATTGAGAAAACAGGATGTTCATATTTTCTTATGTTTATTTAGGCTAATATTAAGTGAATTGGATCCTCTGGATATAATTGGTACTCTATAAATGTTTGAATGAGAGGTGGCAGTTGACTTAGGGAATATTAGCACTGAGACATTTTGTGAATAATTGATTGAGCTTTCATCTTGAAATTATTTCAGTTCTTTTTCCTTTTTTCCTCCTTCCTTTCCTCTTGTTCTTCTGTTCCTACTGCTTTCCTTTTAAAATTAATTATAATCATCCGTTTTATTCCTCAGTGTTGTTTAGGGGAATAAGATCCTCTTTTGTTGTTTCTTTTTTCTTTGAAATACTCACTGAATACCTTTTTTGTGGTATAATCATGCTGGGTACTGAGTCAAATGAAAAGTGACATGGCCCAACTCAGTGAGCTAGCTGCAGGAGGAGGGATATGAATGTGCATATTATTATATAATAATTATGTGAATCTATTTGTATTTATTTATTTAGAATGTGTATGTGTATTTTAAAAATATTTTCTCAGAATCCCTAGGAAAAATTTTGTTTTAACAGGAAAGAACTTACTTCCTCTAGTGGGCCAACAAAATTTGAAATCCATATAGTGGCTCAGTTTGATAACCATAACTCTCAGGTCTGGCGAGTGAGTTGGAATATAACAGGAACAGTGCTAGCATCTTCAGGAGATGATGGCTGTGTAAGATTGTGGAAAGGTAAGAGTTCAGTGAAGGATTTGTTCCTTTATGTTGCTATTTTAGAATTTTCACTTAGAAATGTAAACTCAAATATTTTGGAAAAAATTATCTTTCTACAATTACTTTTAAATTAATGTAATACCAATTTATGTTATTTTGAAGCTTTTATCAGCATACCTAGTTCATAGCAACTAATTAAATTGAATTGCTTTTTAAGTTTCCATGTGGAACAAAGCAATTTTTAAAATGAAAAGTGTAACAGTATACAATATCTTTAAAGGATACAGTTTGCTGTATGTGTACCTTATGTGACTGCTCTACAAACTGAAGATAGGACTGCAGTTATCTCTTAAACAATTGCACTGGCCAAGCAGCCCTTGTAGGGGAAAATCCAGGATCTTATCACCCTCCTCTCTGCGACTCCCCAAAGTTTAAGAATCTTGGGGGTGCTAATTCTGAGTTTCTTATAAATGCCAAGCAAGCTGAGAGAACCCTGGTTGATTAACACTGACTCTAGTTGCTGTAGTATGGTCTGCGCTTTTCCATGGGTGTTTACCCACAGGTAGAGGTGTATCCATTTTGTATACTTAAGATCCAAAATTATAGCTTAGTTCATTTACCCTGAGCAGTTATGGTTTCTCAAAATGCAGTTCAGTGAAGTCTTCCATGGTCAGTTTTAGGCTGTCGTAGAACCCACCCCGACCTCCCTTTCCTCAGTGTCTTTGACTTCATGGGCTTTGCTGCCTGCCTCTCTGCTTTCTGTCAGGACCATCTACCTCCTCTCCAGCAGGGGTTTCCTGGGCTTAGTGTCTCCACTGACCAATTTTGTATTGAAAGAATTAGGCTATATTTGATAAGCCACTCACACCCCAAAAGTTTTGTTATTTATATCTCTGAGGATGTTAGATACCCACATGACTTTATACTTTCATAAGAAGACAACTTGATTACCCTACATAAAATTGTAATTGAAATTCATTATAATAAAGGTGGATTTTTTGATATTTACTTAATGTAATAATTTGGTATTAATTTAGAGAATTGTAAGGAAGGTAAATGGGTGGTGAAAACTTTGTTTTTTAAATTAGTAATTCTCCTAAAACTTAAAAAATTGTTGAAATTGAGATGTATGTGTATCATTTAAAAAGTGTGTTTAATGTTTATCCTGAAAAATGTAGCTTATAGGTCTCTCTTGTTTCTGTAATTGTAATTTAAGGACATGAACACAGATTTGTGTCCTTGAGCATGGGCATTAGTCATGTTAATGTCTTTGACCATTTTCTTTTCAGCTAATTATATGGACAATTGGAAGTGTACTGGTATTTTGAAAGGTAATGGAAGTCCTGTGAGTGGGAGTTCTCAGCAGGGAAACTCAAATCCTTCCCTAGGTTCAAGTACCCCAAATCTTCAAAATTCATTAAATGGATCTTCTGCTAGCAGGTAGGCTGTTTGGTGGGAAAACTAGAAATTACCTTCTTTTTAAATCATTCTGGTAGTCATACTAACACTGTGTTAAGTTTGAATGAAGATATTCACACAATTATAACACTAAAAAAATTCACTTCATTAACTCTGTACTTGGCTTACTTGGTCATAATATTTACAGGTTGGTTTTGAGGCCATTAAACAAACTAAATTTTGTTCTGAAATTTAGTGGTCTATCAAAAATGTCTATAACTTTAAGATTTTATTTTGCTTCTGAGATAGTGAGATGAAGAGGAAATGTGGATAATACTGGGGATTTTAGTTCTAGATGAGCATTAGTGTGTTGTTGGTGCTGGTAGTCTAGCCTTTGATTCAGGTCAAACTGAAATTTCAAATAAAATGACAATTATGTTTTTTTGTGTTTAAAATTTTAATGGGGATCATAAGAGGAAATGGTAAATTCTGAGTTCTTGATTTTTAGAATTTTTAGCATATTATAGACCTTTTTTATCTTAATGTTTGATATGATCTAAAGAGTCCTTTTTGTTTTCATACTGAAATTTTAAATATATGAATTTGTAAGGTAAAATTATTTTAATAGGTCTTTGTGAGTAATTTGGAATACCATTCAGGAAACTTCAAAGCACAGCCTTAAAAACTCCTGTGGTTATACTGTTGTCATCTTAAATAAAAGAATTGTATTTAAAATTTCCTCAATTATTTTTGTATTGTTATATTTTTATAAATACGTCCTGCTATTTGATTTTAAGATTAAGTATTTGCATGAAAACAATTTCAGCTTACCACAGAAGATACGAGATTATAAAGATCATTTCATGAAGCAAAGGATACTAATGTTAATTTTTTTAAAATTCTGGCTTTTGGTTGCTACCTATACTGCAGATTTTCTTTTGTAAAGAGCTTTGAAGTTTTTATCTGTATTCTTATTGTGCCAGTAACCATGTGTGTTAGATCTGTGATGATTTTCCCTTCTCCATTTGTATTATGTTCTTTAACAGAAAGCACAGCTGAGTACCAGCTAACTGGAGTAACTGCTGTTTTGCTGCTTGTTGCATGCACACAGGAATGGAAAACGAGCTTCTTTTCCCTTTCCCCAACACCGTTTGACCTCTCCCAAGATACACCAGCAGCCTGCTTACTACTAAATGCAATCCAAAAGGCCTTTAAAAATACAGTGTGTATCATTTTTTGCTACTAGCCAGTTTACTGATAATATTTGAAACTTCTGAAATATAAATGGAGAGGCTTTTTGTTACCAGAGACATTGTTACCAGAACAATTTTTTGAAATGTTCCTGAAGCTAACATGGGTCTTAAAATTAAAAGGATTGTTACCATCCTTATGAACAGTTGGGAGGAGGGAAAATATCACTTTATTCCATTTGGATAATATAGGCTTATTTCTTCTGTTTTCTAAAACAGTAAGGTAAAATGATGAATTTTTATGATTTTAATTTGAAGAATGAATAAATATTTTTCATGTTTTGAGTGCTAATCTATCTTTTGTAGAATTGGTTTATACATATTATTCAGTACAATCTGTCAATTTCTTTGTAATATTTAAAAATATTAGTAGAGTGAGAGAAGTAGTAAAATGAAAGTAATTTGTACGTTTTGTAGCCAGAGCATTGGTATTGCCTCATGTATAATTTGGTAGTACAATGAAAACACCTTTGTAAGTTTGTAATTCATATTCACTATAGAGATAAACGTTTCTCATATGTGTTTCTAATAGGTATTTGTGTATTTTTATGGTGTGATCCCAGGCTTAAGGTTTCCTTCAGGTCAAAATTTGGAAACATAGAGAAGCAGTTAAAATGTTGCTCAAGTTGTGCATGCACATTAAATTAACCTACACATCCCATGTCCCAGGATTTTCTTAGTTTAGTTGTCTGCTTCATTTGGTTGAAGTCCTCTAGAACTCTGACCTTGATGACAAAACTATAAATCTGTTTGCTAACATGCATAAGTATTATGGGTCATTTGTCAAAAAAGAGAATAGTAACAATAGGACATATTCTTTAAGCCCTTTTACTTATCAACATTTTGTACTAAGGTTTTTGCAGAAAAACAGCTAAGTGTATTCAAATATTGTATTCTTTAAAAGTATGGTGCAATAGTTGGCTATACTATATGAAAATGTATTTGAATTGGTTCTCAGTATCATGTATCCATGAAAAAATGTGTGCCTGCTGATACCACAAATGAAGCATTGTTCAAAATAAAGAAAAAGCTTATTAGATTAGTAAATTTACAGGATGTCAAGGATGTTTCTGAGAAAATGTTTTAAATTACAGAATTAATGTATTTTTTTTGTAACATTCATACCGATAAATTTTTTTTTAACATTGTAAGTTTAACAGATTGTATTTCTTTCTTTCAAGTTTCTATACTTGGCTTAAGCAAGCTTGATTTTAGTAAGGGTCTTGATTTTTGCTATTATGTTCTGTTAGTTTTGGCATGACTATACTGAAGCTTTTTTTTTTCCAGCATGTGTTTTCTCTTCTTTGGTTCTTTGTATTTACTACTTTTCTCTTTTTCTTCTGTTTTGTTTTTTTTTTTTAACTGTTGTTTTTGTTTTGGTGTTTTGTTCCTGTCTTCATTGTTTCAGGTATTTCTTTCCCCCTCGGGATTCCCCACGGGCTGGATCAAGATGGTCCAGTTATGCCCAGCTCCTTCATTCTCCTCCTCCTCCTCCTCCTCCTCCTCCTCCTCCTCCTCTGGTAGAACACTCTTGCGATGCTGACACTGCCAACCTCCAGTATCCTCACCCTCGCAGACGATCTTTCTCTCGGCCTCTTAACCCCTTACCTGAGAATGAAGGGGTTTAAAACACTGAGTTGACACTTTAAAAGCCTTATTCAAGTGCTTGGAAATGCTTTCATTCCTGGCTGCTTTTTTTCTTCATTTTCTTTGAGAAGATTTTTCTAAATTAGGGTCTGTCTTGCATGTATTACAACCAGAACACAGTGTTTGCAACCGAAATGTGTTTGTACTTGTGCATCAAAGGAATATTTGCTTCACTGGTTGATAACCTGTGATGAAATGAGATACAGTACATTGACTGTGAGAGTTATACACAGTAGCTGATTTCAGAGTGCCTGTTTAGCTGTTTAGTACATTTTATTTTTAACTGTTATCATGGTGTTAAATTTCTTATGGTTTGTCATACTGGTTAATGTGAAAACACATCCATCATAAAGTTCATTCTGCCTTTTGAGACATAAGTGTTTTTTTTATTTTATTTTACAGGATAATGTTGCAACTAGTTTGTAAAATAAATCATTCCTGTGTATAAAGCAGCAAAACATAATATGGACTGGTCTTTTTATTTTTTTTAAGGAAATTGCCTTTTACTACTTAGAATTACTGCTTAAAGCTTTAGTAATTATTGTCCAAGTGGATTATTTAATAAAACATATTTTAAAAGATATGAATCTATCCTCAAGGGAGGAACAACCTAAGACAGGCACAGTTGCAGGGGGGCCATCAGGTGAGAATTTGGGGATCAACAGAGGTGAGGCTCAGAACCTCACCCCCCCTGCTTTGAGAGAAATCTTCTGCATCCGTGGATGTCTTGCTGCCCTTGTCTAGCCTGGATTAATACTTAGTCCATAGGCACACACCTGATCATCTGATCATCTACATTTGCCCTCTTACAGCACTAAACTATGTTTTCTACCTTTATCTTGCATCTACCTACCACTTCAGCATTTTATTAAAAATAAAAATAATAATAATAATAGGAGAAATGTGGGATCAACATATAAATCAAGTACAAAAATCAAATGAATATTCATATTTGACCTGATGGTTTATAGGTCATATTGCATGATCAAAACCGAAAGTTTCTGTGATGAATGCCCTTGTACTGTTCACCATGTAAGAATTTATTCACTCTGTAAGAATTCGTTCACCATGTAAGAACTTGTTCGTTATGCTTCAGAAGATTGGAGACTGACGAGAATTAGGCTTGAGATGGATTAATGATTGTACATTGAGCATTGACCCCCCTATACTGAATTTTATTGTTGTTAACAACCATTTGATCAATAAATATGAGAGATGCCCTCTCAAAAAAAAAAAAAAGATAGGAATCTATTGCCTTATAAAAGTATTTGGTAGTTGTTAAAGCTTTTCTCTCTGTAAAATACCATGTTGCTAAAAAAAATCCACACAATCAAAAAATAGGGAAGAGAATGACATTTATTTAAAAGATCGAAAGTCAATATGTAGATTAGCATCTACAAATGACAGATATTGACTTTAAATCTAATTAGATAACATTTTTCTAAATAATACTTGTAAAATTTGAAATCAATATGGTCAACAGTAATTACGGGAAATGGTTAAAACTATGAGACTAGAAATATTCTTATGGGTTCAGTTTTCTCAGGATTGTCAAGAGTTTAACTTCCTTCAGGATTAGAGAAAGATGTAAGTTGAAGAGCATTTTATGTATATCAGTGAATCACACATAGATGATATAATTATTGTAACTATTAGATTTTAATTTTCAAAAACAACTTTTCCTATGAATAGGGTCATACCCCCACTAGAATCTACTAAATTGCTGGGTAGAGTGGGGAGAGCTCTGGTCAGTTGATTTTTATGGAGGAAGGACACTGAGTTAGGTACAAGCGATACAGGGGGAATGGCAGTCTGGAATATACAGACACATTCCAGGTGTAGACAGAAGATATTTTGTGAAACAAGGGTTGTTCTTTACACTAAAATAGCATCATTTCTGCCCTTAGAGCTAAGTATTTGGTTTATTTTTCAGGATTCACTAAATGCTTGAGATTTTCTCCACTTACCTGTTCATTGAATGTGGATAAAGGTAGAATATGGGCAATTACACTTTTCAAATGACAAAGCTGGAAGCTTTCAAAAGAGATGTGGGGAGAACTGTGAAGACATCACTGCATTTGACAGGAGGCTAGTCCTGATAAATTAAAACAAATGTTAAAGTAGTGCTCAGGATCAAGCCATATGATGTGGAATGACTGACAAGGTGTTAATGTGAAGGCTCTTAAGGGTAGGAAGAGAAGAAGGGTCTTCAGGTGATAAGACCACCCATTATTGATTTTTTATTTTTGGATGGAGAGAGGGAGTATTTCTAAAGGTAGAGAGAAGGGAACTAACTAGTGGACAGTGTCTCCGGGAATGATACTTGAGCAGTATTGCAGAGGATGTAAAAAGTAAAGTGATCAAACGTCTTTCCCCACCAGACTACAGTTACTACTAGGGGAACTCAACTTAGTGTTTTTACTATTCTCTCCTCCCAAGTCAGTATGTCTTAACATTCAGTCACTTGAATGAATGAAGTTCATTTGATGAATGAATGAAGGAGTTAGCTTTGGAAGAAAGGGACTCTTTTTTCCCTCTGAGACCGTAGGGTAGAAATTTTGAAATGAAGGCAAGTGAAAGGTGTGAAATTGAATGACCTTTGGTTTCAGTAAAGTGGTAGTTAAGGCCTAATGTCGAGCGGATGTCGGGGATAGGTTACATGGCCTAATGAGGATAGGAAAACGCAGGAATTAGGAATAAATTATGCCTCATTCCTAACCCCTTTCCACCCCAGACCTACCTTAGCCCATCACAAAGAGGCGATTAGGTGTAGCGAACTGTGCTGAGGCTTGGATCCCGAGGAATGACTTCCTAATTGAAGTTTACTAGTCATGCACATCATGAAGCAAACCACGATACATTTCAAAGACTGCCAAACGGTGATAGAAAAGACCTACATCTGCTCCAGTAAGGCCAAAAAATGGCAACAGTACTGAACTCGGTAGTATCGGGTACTTTGTCCACTGGAAATATTTGTGTATAAGGTGAGCGACGGTGCCTTGGGGTCCCAAACCGAGCAAGATGAGCGTTCCTTTTCAAGGTTGGCGAAGGCCGTGTACGCGGGGCAGATCCTGGAGGGCCTCTGGCAGTGAAGAGCTCCGCAGCTGCAGGGCGCAGTTTCCTGGCTTCAAATCCAGGAACGCGCCCTCCTCGCCCAATCATCGGCCTCCTTGTCCGCCTTGTCCAATCCAAAGCCAACTCTGAATCCCCGCCTCTCGGCTCTTGCCGCGAACAGCCGTGAACTCAGGGGCCGCGCGGTACGGCTTCTGTCGGGGAGGACGCGCACGCGCAAGCGCACTTTGCAGCCTCTGAGACGCTACCTTTTTGCAGACCCATCTGCCTGTCTGTAGGCTCCCGCAGGTGGAGCCGCAGACTCAGTGAGGAGGAATACTGGTGCCTTGAGCTGTGCTGCTGCGGGAGGCGAGCGAATCCACTTTGGGCCAGCATTTCGGCTGCGGGCCGACGGGCCAGTGGCGGTTGGGCCGGTGGCTTGCCGGGGGCTGCGGCGCGCGGGCCGTGGTCGGGCCTCCGCGCCCTGTCCGCACCTCCGCACTCAGCTCAGCTGCCACGCTGAATTACGCTCGGTGAGTTTAATTGGACGCCTCTGTGCCCAGGGCTCTTGCCAAGCAGGAGAGGTCGGCTTTGAAAGACGCGGGTTTTGATTTTTGGGGTCACATCCTTGTGCACCCCTTTCCGCATGATGACTTCCAGCTCGAGGGACAAACGCACTCCGCGTTTTGCTCTGGAGTTTCTCGTTGCAAAGTGCTCTGTCGACTGGCGACGTTTATTTCATGTGTCGTGATGGGCGGTTTTGTTTGTCCTTAGTGCCTAAAACTGCGGAAATAACGTTGTTGTCAAATAAATGCAGAGGGGCCTGCCAGTGGCACCCACTCACTCACGTTTGCTTTGGTTTCTGCCAGGCCACGTGCACATTTCTCCTACCACTTTACTACATTCCCCATATCTGATATCTTTATTAAAAACAGACATGAAATAAGATGTTTACTGTCACTCTACTTTTGTTTTCTCTTCATTTCAGACGTTGTTTAGTAAAACATGACATCCCTGTTGAGACAGTCATTTGGAGGACAGCTGTTTTTATGACAGTATTTACATATGCTGTTACCGTTTTGCGGTCATTCAACTGGGGTTTTGGTTCAAGGCCCTTCTGTTTCATTGCATTAAATATATCATGCCATTCTCTTCTGACCTGTAAGATTTCTGCTGAAAAGTCTGATGATAGCCTTATGGGTTTTCCTTTGTAGGTGACCTTTTTTCTCTCTTTGGCTGCCTTTAATACTCTGTCCTTGTCTTTGATCTTTGCCATTTTAATTATTATTTGTCTTGGTGTTATCCTCCTTGGGTCCCTTGTGTTAGGACATCTGTGGACTTCCATGGTCTGAGAGACTATTTCCTCCCCCAGTTTGGGGAAGTTTTCAGCAATTATTTCTTCAAAGACACTTTCTATCCTTTTTTCTCTCTCTTCTTCTGGTGCCCCTGTAATGCATATATTGTTCCATTTGGATTGGTCACACAGTTCTCTTAATATTCTTTCATTCCTGGAGATGCTTTTATCTCTCTCTGCCTCAGTTTCTCTGTATTCCTGTTCTCTGATTTCTATTCCATGAACAGTCTCTTGCTCCTCATCCAGTCTGCTCTTAAGTCCTTCCAGAGATTGTTTTATTTCTGTATTCTCCCTCCTAACTTGACCCTTTAGCTTTTGCATATTTCTCTGCAGGTCCATCAGCATGGTTATGAGCTTTATTTTGAATTCTTTTTCAGGAAGATTGGTTATATCTGTCTCCCCAGGTCTTTTCTCGGAGGTTGTCTGGGTGATTCTGGACTGGACCAAATTCTTCTGCCTTTTCGTGGCAATAGAGGTAGTTATAGACAGGTGGCACATGTGTCAGCTGGGAGAACAAAGTCCCTTCCTGCTTGTTCATTGCCGTGCCCCTCTCCGCTGCCTGTGTGGGTTACCTGCACACCGGGAGCAGCTCTTGGGGTAGCCCAGAGCCCTGCAGGGAGAGGCAGGTGCACCGGGTGTGCTCTCCTGTGAGAACGGCGCCCCTTCGCACCTTGCCTCAGCTTCCTCTGCCTGTGCCAGGCAGCTGAGCACAGGGATGAGACTCTGGGTGGCGGCTGTGGGCGTGGCCACTCTCAGGCTGCTTGGCTGGTGTGGCGGGGCAAGCGGGGCCTCGCCGGAGGGGGAATGAACTGAACAGCAGGCTGTTTATTGCCCTGAGGGGTTTCGGAGCTGTGCTGCTTACCGGGGGGCTGGGGTGCATGAAGTTCCCTGGGATTCCCAGCTGCTAAGCTGAGTGTGCCGGGACGATTCAGTCGAGCTGTGAAACCCCTGTCCCTTTAAGACTTTCAAAAAGCACTTGCTTTTCTTTTGTCCCAGGGGAGCCGGCTGCAGGGACCTGCTCACAGATTTTACCTTTCTGTTTCTCTAGTATCCAGCACACCCCACACTGTGTGTCTGTGCTCCTGGTGCAGATTACCAGTGCTGGGTATTTAGCAGTCCTGGGCTCCCACTCCCTCCCTGCTCCAACTCCTCTCCTCCTACTGGTGGGCTGGGGTGGGGGGAGCACTTGCGTCCCGCTGGGTCATGGCTTGTATCTTACCCCCTTTATGAGGTGCTGGGTTCTCACAGATGTAGATGTAGCCTGGCTGTTGTACTATATCCTCTGGTCTCTCTTTTAGGAATAGTTATATTTGTTGTATTTTCAAAAATATATATGGTTTTGGGAGGAGATTTCTGCTGCCCTACTCACGCCACCTTCTTGGCTCCTCTCCCTCAACTGGAGTTTTTACTGCTCCAGAATAAACTTGTTCTTTGAATTTCTGTTTTCTGGGAAGAGTTTATGGTAAGCTTTGAAAACTAGTGTACTAAATGCCTATGTAATTGTTAAGTGTTTCTTAAAATACCAAGTGCAAATGGTGAATGTTGGGAAAGTTTGACAGCATATACTTTTGAAAATGTTTAATTGTACATGTAGACCTTCAACTAACTACTACAGTAAGTGATATTTTATATATCCAGAAATGTAATTATAGGAATTAAATATTAGTAAACTCAAATGTGAAATTTTGAGGTTACTTCTTTAAAGAAATAGCAAGAGAAATCCCAAAGATAGCTACTTAGTTCAAATATAGTAAAAGGAAATACATTATATTGTCTTCAGTTAGGTGATGGAGGGAAGGGGTAGGTAATGCAGTACAGAAGGAAGTTAGGAAATTTTTCCTTCTAGGAAGGCTTTAGGAATGTGGTATGTCCATGGATGATTTAAAACAAATATAATGCTTTCTGGAAACAAAAGGAACTGAGTATTGGATTACATTTTGAGGAATCTTCTGCTGTGTTATGTTACTATTGCATCCATAGCAAAGCTCTATCCAAGTACTTAATTAACACTGTGTATTATAATAGGGCTCATCAGCTCTCAGCTCCCTCAGGGGAGCTGTCTTATTATTTTTGCATTCCCAATGTCTGAGTAGAGTCTCTTTAAGGGTTTCTGTTTGATAATGATTGCTGCATGATGTATTTTTGCTTAATACCTGAATTTTTTTGGATTGGACTCTTCAATAAGGATAAACCTTAAAGAGCATGGTATATATTTTAATGTGGTTTATATATCTGTAAATGAACAAATAACTTAGTAATTACATGACTAGATGTGTGGAGGCTAGTTGGAAGACTTGTGCAATAGTTTAGATTAAAATGTGATGGATGGCAGTTGTTGGGAATATAGAAATGTGTCTCTGCTCCAAAGATATACTTGGAGTTAGAAGCATTCAAATTTGATAACTAGTTGAGAGAGCATAAGGGATCAGAATGGTCCCAGGTGTCTGGCTTATATAGCAAGAGAATAGGGATAACATAGGTCAAAACTTAAAGATAACAGGAAGAGTGGACAGAGGAATGGCAATGAATTTGGTTTTGTATTTTTTGACTTTGTACTACTTGAGAAGCTGTCAAGGGTAAGGTAGATAGATATTAGAGAGCTATTTGGAAATATGAATCTAGAGCTCAAGCTAGAGGCAGAGGCAGAGGCTGAATGTGATTTGCAGAGGGAGATGCCATGAGTGAAAAGGAAAGAATACTCTGGGGCCAGACTTGGCCTGGTGTGAATCCTCTCTCCCACTTACACTATGTGGCCTGGAAAAGTCTCTTAATTCCCTCTTGGCTTCAGTTTCCTCCCTAGTAAGGAAAATGGCTCCCTTGCAGATTTGATGCAGGGATTAAAGAAATGTATATAGTACTTAGTACATTACTTGATAATAGAAGAGATAGTGTATGTCAGCTAGATAGCTAGAGGATATAGATTATTTCTTTCAACTCATACTCCCAACTCTGTATCAGTTACTGGGAATGTATGGGTGAACAAGATAGCCATGTTCCCAAGAAACTGATCATCTGACGTCGAAGATGGGGCCACCCACTGAGAATGTTGCCAGTCATTCATTTATTTCACAAATATTTGAGTGCCTACTAGGTGCTAGGCATTATCAGTGTCAGGAAAGAGTGATTGATGGACAGATAAGCAAGGCCCATTCTCTTAAGGAGCAATCTTTTTAGTGGAAGAAGACAAATAAAAAGTTAGTTAAAATAAACAGTTGTGATAGACTGTGGGGTTACATTTGACTCATGATAAGAATCACCTCTTAAGGTGACATTTAAATTGAGGTGAAAGTCAGGAAGGAGCTAGCCTTGTAGAGTTCCAAAGGAGTATCCTAGGCCCTGAGGTAGGGGTGGATTTGGGTGTTAGGAACTGAAAAGCCAGTGTGTGGTGAGTGAGCCTGAGAAGGGTTGGAGATGAAGATGAAAATTGAAGGTTTCTATAGGAGTATGATATGTGACTTATATTTAACAGTCCTTTTGGTTGCTGTGTGGATAATTCATTGTAGAATGGCAAGAATAGAAGTGTGGAGACTGGTTAGGGTACCCTTCAGTAGGGTAGTGTTGCAGTAGCAGAAACAGAAAGATGCAGAATCATACAGAGTGTGTTTTGAACACACACATTTGCCCTCCAGAGTGGGCTCTACTGATAGTGTTTTTATTGAATTTAAATGGGCTTAAGTGGGGTCTGTAATTTCCAGTTGATTTTAGTCTATCTTAGAGTCCTATGGTCTGACAGGTTTTGTGCCTGAAGGCTTTTGAATTTGTGTCCCCTATTGTATGAGATGTACAGTGCATGACATAGACCAGGTCAGAATCCTGGGTATCCCTAACTTATAAGGAGCAGACAGGGGAAGAAGGTGTTAAGTGAGATGTAATAATAATTTTGGATTCTTCTAAGGTGCTTGGCTAGAACTAAAAATGATGGGATGGGAACAGGTTTCCCACCTCCTCCATCCTAATGTGAAAGAATTTTGAACATGAAGAAGAAGAAATAGAAATATTGAAGAGAGGAAAGTGCTGGGGCATGATCTGAGCAGAGGTGCTTATATGATAGTTGGTGAGAAATTTGTTGTGTATTGACATAGTTTGAAAACATTAATTTATTCAACAAGTTTATGGAGGGTCTGCTTTGTGCAAGGCACTTCTCTAGATAGGAACTCAGTGGTAAAATAGCCAAGTCTCTGTCTTTGTGGAGCTTACATTCTACTGTGGGGAAAAAGTTAAACAGGTGAATTACATGGCTTGCTAGATGGTGGTCAGTATTACAGAAAAAGAGAGCAGAGCAAAGAGACAGGAGCACCATGCTAGACGATCCAGGTTGATGAGGGAGGACATGATGGTAAGTGGATTTAAACAAAGACCTGAAGAAGCAAAGGAGCAGGACGTGAGGATAACCATGTGCTGGGCAGAGGTGGTAAGGGTGCAGGCTCTGAAGCCTTTGTGTGGTTTGGGGACAGCAGGATGATTAGGATGACTGGGGTGAGTAGGAGAGGAGCAAGAGATAGGGCCCAAGATTGTTCAGGTTCTCCTCATTACCCATTAGAAGGATTGACTTTTGCTCTGAATAAGACAAGAAGCCAGTGGAGGCTTTTGAGCTGAGCTACAGTAGCTGATATTTTACAGAGGCAACTTTAATATGAGGTGAATAGACTAGAGGATGGGACCTGGAGACAGAAGACTGTTGCAGTGGGTATCCAGACCAGAGGTGGCAGTGACTTGACCAAGGTGGTAGCAGTGGAGTTGTGAGAAATGGCAGGCTCTGGTTTTATTGTTATGATACAGTCATTGGGATTTATTTAGGGATTGCATATTGCAGGGGTGTGTGCTTGTCATTAATGACTAAGGTTTGTAGTTTGAGCAACTAGAGTATGGAGTTGTCTTTTTCTCTGTGGGGAAGACTGAAGAGTAGGCTTTTCCTGAGGGAGTTGAAATGAGGTGGAATCAGAATTCACATTTTAGGTGCCCATTAGATATCTAAAGTGAGAATGTCAAGGAGGTAGTTGAGTATCTGAGGTTCAAAGAAGAGATCCAGGCTGGAGATGGAAATTTCATATGGTATCTAAGACTTTGAAACTGAGGATAATTACCTGGAGAGGGTGGGTGGCTGGAAGAGGTCCAGGAGTAGGCCCTGGAGCCTTCTCTGTGTGGGGTCCAGGAGATAGGAGGAACCAGCCATGGAGAAGGAAAAACAGCAACTGGTGAAGTTGGAGAACCCATACAGCTACGTCTTGGAAGCCAGTGAAGACAGTATGTCTATAGGAAGGAGTATGAGTCCCATACTGTGAGGTAAGAGAAGATGAGGACTGAGACCCCATGAAATTATGGAGTCTAAAATTGGGCTCCATTTCAGCCATCCAAGAGTAAATTAAGATGTTTTGTATTTTGTTAATTATAAGAAGATACTTTGATGTTTATATTCTCAACTATAAAGTATCAAAGTGTTCTGAGAATTTTGTTAACCTCAGAATGCTTGCTGTTCATATCCCTTCTTAGTGCTGTTTGAAAAAAATGGTTTCTCCAATTTATCACTTTTGTAAGACTTAGAAGACTTGTCCTCTTAATCATTTGAAAGAGTTTTATAGTAATATTTGACTTGTAAAAATACTTTTATTGTTTCAGAGAGATGGAAGATTTTCGAGGTATAGCTGAAGAGTCATTTCCTAGCTTTTTAACCAATTCATTAGTTGGTAACAGCGGTATTTTGGAAAACGTCACTCTTTCTTCAAATCTTGGCTTGCCTGTTGCTGTGTCAACACTTGCTAGAAATAGTTCCGGCACTGATAACAGGTAAGAATTATTTGAACTAATGATTTTTTCTTAAGGTCTATAAAGCCTGTGTACCTCTGTAAAATTTCTCAGCCAAGTTTGAGCTTTTGCTTTATCTGAAGAAGATGACCATATATTTAAAATTAACACAGAAAAAACCCTTACTCCCTCTTTCCCTATCCCACTGCCTTTCAGAGGTGGGTGGGTGTCTTTGGGATTGAGCACCAGTGATCTTTTGGTCTACTAAATGTTTTTCCTGTGTTTGTCCACAATGTTTTGGATTTGTATAGTTCAGCCTTACTGGGGGCTGGTACTTTGAGTTGTATCTTCATGTGTGATGTGTATAGCTCACCTGTCTTGTGTATTGTATAAAGTTTGTCCATGCTTAAATGTCTAACTAAGCACTGTCCTGTCTTTCTAAACTAAACATTTGGTAAGGAGATCATCTTTACCTTTGGAATGAAGAAGTTGTAGTAATTTTCTAAAGACTCTTTTAGTTTTAAGATTTCTCTGTCTCTTGTTTAAGACATACTCCTTATTGATGCTCATGATTACAGTGCTTTGCACATAGGATGATGGTTTTCAACATGGGAGCCCTATTTGTTTTTACCCCCTGGTGGTTGGTTTTATAATCCTGCAGCCCTAATCTCATGGTGAATTTTAAATATGCATAATTTAATTATTAACAATTAAAACAACTCTTTTGTGTAGGTATGCTGATATCCAGGCATCTTATTTAGTAGAAGGGAGGTTTTCAATTCCATCTGAGTTATCTCCTAGTTGCCAGAGTGAAGCTGAACCACAGCAGAGGTTACACCTTAGCTTCCAGGATGATGAGTAAGTTCATACCTTCATCTTGCTTTCATTGTGTTAAAACTCACTCAGTTCTTGTGGAAAATGAAAGTGTGATTGTGTCTCTGATTAATGCGATGAATCTTTAAGAGTTTTTCTATGATTTTAATCACATTTTTAGTCTTTCAAAACACGTCTTCTGATTCTAAAAAAATAGTATTGCTTGAAGACAAAGGTGTGTGACCCCACTGACTAGAGAATAGCCATTGATCATCTTTTTATTTATAGTTTTCAGACTTTTTTATGCACATGTACGTGTATCTATATGTATTAAGTCTTTTTTACAAAAATAGAATTAAACCATACACATGGTTTATAACTTTAAAAAATATATGTGCTCATCTTTCAACAATAATTAATAGGGGTAAATCTCAATGTTAGTGGCTGTACCATGTTAGGGATTTAGATTGGAATTTTGCTATTAAAGATTTAATGAATTTCTTTATCCATACATTTTGCACAACTTGCAGATGATTTTATTCAGATAAATTCCTAAGATTGAAATTGCTGAATTAAGAATATTTAATTTTAAAGACTGTTACTAATGATCACATTGCTCTTCAGAAGACTTGCGCCAGTTTACACTCCCACTAGAAGATGTATGGGAGAATGCCTACTTCTCTGAGTCCTCCCTGACTTTTGGTATTATTTTAATCTTTGATTTTAGAAGGAGAAAAATGTACACATGCATAAATGCACAGAAGAAAGAAGACTTAAAACCAAAATAAAAATAATGATTGTCTCTTGATGGTGGTATGATAGGCAGTCTTAAAGTTTTCTATTTGAATTCATAATAGAGTATTTATGGGATTGAAATGTTTATACATTACTGATATTTTTACTGTGAATTGCCTCTTGGTAACACTTAGATACAAGTGCTTTCTGTATATTAAAGATGTTAACTCTATGTATTCACTCAAAGTGTATTTCGATTGCCGTTTATATGCCAGGTACTTCTCTAAGTGGTGAGGAAATACCTAAACAGACATTAAACAAAAAGACATTAAAATAGTCTTTTATGCAGTTTTATAGTATATTAGAAGGGAAAAGTGCTAGGAAAAATAGAACATGTTAACAAGAGTTATTAGGAAGGCTGGTGGGTATGGTCAGCGTGGGTCTCATTGAGGAGGCCTGAGACATGAACAGAGATCAAAGGAGGGAGTTAGCCATGAGGATGTGAAGAGGAAGAGGATTTCAGGTGGAGTGGGCAACCAGCATGAAGGCACTCAGGTAGGAGCATACCCAGCATGTTCAGAGAGTAGGATGGAAGCTGCAGTGGGCTGAGCAAGGACTTGGACTCAGACCTGGAGTGAGATGGAAAACCATTCGAGGGCTCCATCTAAACTGTGTTTCAAAAGGCTGACTCTGGCTACCATGTGTCCACTAGATTGTTGGGAGGCAATACTAGAGCAGAAAGACCATTCAGAAGGTTGGACTATCAAGGGAGTACAGTAGATGGAGAAGAGAGGAGCATCAAGGCTTGATGTTTGGGGCACTCCAACACAAAGATGCCAGAGAGAGGAGGGGCAGACAGAGAGACAAAGAACAGGTGATCAGAGGAAGGAAGAGACGCTGTCTTGGAAGCTGTATGAAGAACATGTAAAACAAGAGAGGGTCAAATTACGTGAGGACTAAGACATGACCATTGGTATTAGCATAGGTTGGGTCATTGGTAATCCTGACCAGTGGTTTTGGTGGGAGCAGAGAGAGGCACGATAGTGTAGTAAAGTGAGCTTAAGAAAGGATGGGGGGTTAACATTGGAGACTGCAGACAGCTTGTGGAATATTGCATAGAAGAGAGCAGAGAAATGATCTGTGATAGCTGGTGGGTGTACTGGATCAAAGAAGCTTTTCTGGTTTCTGTGGGGGGATAAGTTACTGTATACATGGTAATAGGAATGATGTCCTGGAAAGGTTAAGTTTATGTAAATGAAGAAAATTTCTGGAACAAAGTCTGCATAAATAAGAGAGACTAGGATATAAGGTGAGTGGAGGAAATGATAGAGGCATGGGACCAGGGCTGATTCCTCTGTGTTAACAGTTGGGAGGGGGAGTACATGGGTATATGTGGTGCTAACAATCTATAGACATTGTCTTTGCAGTGCATCAGGGTTTTCAGTGAAGTAGGAAGCATGCCATGAGGACATTGCTTCCCCTACTCACATTTCCACATTCCATCCACGCAGTGAGGTGGTGGAAGAGGAGCTCATGGTTTGAAGAAGAGTGAAACAGTCATTTGGGAATGTGGGAAAGTAAGCAGTCTAGGGAAATAGTGGGATGGTCAGACAGCATCAGGAGCCCCACTGGAGGGTCATGGTCATGCAAATAGTGTGAGACAGCTCAGTGTGATTGTGGTGTTTTCTTCAATCTCATTCAGCTGCAGGAGTAAGTAGAGAGCTGGTTTTAAGTAGGCTTCTTGTCTGATGAAGGCAGTAAGGGACAAGGGAGTTGAGGATGAATGATGACTGGCCATGGGATTTAGGTTAAGGATGAGGAGAAGCTATCAAAAGGGTGAGGAGAATACCATGTGGCAGTACGGGTGGATGGCGGCTTGGGTGGGGTTAAAGGACTAGAGGCAGATGACCTGAGTGGGTTGTAGGGTTCCCAAGCTTGGAGTCTTTAGGGAGAGTGACTGGACGTTGTCCTGAGGAGACACTGCTGGAGACATACATACTCCACCTCCACACCTAGCGCCATGGTGGCTGTGGGAGAGACAGCAGTGTCCATTTGACAGTGTAGGGGAAGCAATGTCCTCATAGCATACCCACATTTTTCTTAAAGCAGTCAGGTGAAAGGAATGTTCAGAGAAGGGGCTAAATTCTTGAGTTAGCCAGATTTTGCCAATTTAGCACTGTACCTTTTAGAGGGCACAGAAGAAGGGTTTGTTGTCAGGAAGAGAGAGGATATGCAATCTTTGGGGGCTTAGAATGCCAGCAATAAGCAGTCCTAGGCTTCTTTCAGGACAAGAAAGATAGGAACAAAGGGCAGCATGAAGCTAGTCCCACTGATTCAATGGATTCAATGATGTGGGGGTGGAAGGAGAATATTGTAAGGAATCCCTTGTCTCTTTTTGATGGAGGCCAGCCAGTTGGGGAGGTACTCCTGTTAGCCCCTGTTAATGGAAGATAGGAGGCCTGGTGAGTAGGGTGTAGACACAGTGCTGACTGACTCCTGCTGGGTAGAGGCACTTCGGTTGAGTAATCTGAAGACCTCGGCTGTTAGTGTAAGTGTGCGGGCTTCCTATCTCCTGTGATGGAGGGTCCACAGCCTGCAGAGCCACGGTCTTGGTCCCCGCAAGAGCAACAGCTACAGTGTCTCCTTCTGGGGAAGCGTGGGATTTATGTTTGTCAAATATTCTTCTTACTTTAAAATTAATTAATATTTTACCTGAGTATAGAATGTAAGGATGAGAATAATTTACAAAATTTTGGAGACATTGCTACATAGAATAAGAAGCCCAATGTCATTTGGATACTTGATCCTTTGTATCTGAACTGTTTCTCTCTAGAAACTTTTACGGTCTTCCCTGAGTCCTTTGGGGAGTCGTGGGGGGATGTTTTGTACTGGACCTACTAAATTCTGTCAATCCAGAGACTTGTGTGCTTTCATTGAAGATAATTAGTACTTTGGTAATTTTCTGTTTTTCTCCCTTCTCTTTCTGAAACTATTACTTTGGGCTGCCTGGGATGATCTATTTCCATTGTTTTTCTTATTTTTTTATTTCATTGCAAAAAAGTCACATTCTATATAAGTTCCTAATTTTTTCCCTATCATTCCCTTCTCCCTTCTTTTAAGTCACTTGGCAATCATAGTTTTGAGAGTTTTTTTTCAGGTCGTTTATTTTTTATAATAAGGGTCTCTTTTCCTGGATGTAATAGCTACTTGAATGTCTCTGAGGATTCTAATTGACATTTTTCAAACTTCTATGAATTTCTTTCTCTGGGATTATTTGTTTAGTTTGTTCATCTTAATTTTTCTCTCTTGAGCTGCTCTCTGCCTGTGTCTGATTTGTGGCTGTCTTATAGGTTGCTAGTGTGGGCATCCTCGGCTGTTGGGTATCCAGGTCTCATTTCCATTAGGTCTTGTGTGAGTGGGACACCATTTCTGGCTGGCTTCATTTTAGACTGAGCAGGCTGGGGGGTCTTAAATTCATGCCAAGTATGTATTTAATGCTTTATTCTGATCTGCTGCCACAACCATGGCTTTCATCTGTGCAGACATAGTGTGCCTTGTCTGGTGACGAACCTTCCTAGGTGTTCAGTGTCGTACTGACACTGATTTTGGTTCGTGTGGGTTGGGGGCAGGAGTGGAGCGCTGCGTGGCATGGTCAGCTGATGGACTTTCAGTCAGTGCTCTCTCCTGTCTGCTTTCTGACTGCAGTCAGGAAACATTTCTGTGGTTCTTCCTGGCAGATTTGTTTTCTGCTTTTGGGACCTTTTGTTCTTTTTTTGGGACCACAGATCTCTTTTCTCCTGTACATCCCATCTGATTTCTAGATTCGAGAATCTGAGGTAAGCTTGGGTTAGGACTGGTGGTTATTATCCAGATTGCTTCACTTTTGTGAATATTCTTACTATTATTTATTCTCATGGACTCCTGGAAATTGCTTTTGCCACTTGTACTTGAAGCGTATGACTTAATTTGAAAAATTTTGATAAGCTAATAAAAACAAGGGATTAGGTTCGAGGAGGTAGATTTTTTAGGATTGTTGGTGAATTTACGGTGCCTTTCATTGTCTGTCTGTTACTTGAAGGTCTAATGGTCACACTTTTCTTGGGTGGAGGCTTTAAAATATGAAAACCTAGATGTTCTGACTTTTTTTTTTAACTTTTATGTTACCACCTTACCTCCCCATACTCCTTTTTTTAAAAATATGTCACAAAGGGACTTTTGTTGTCTTTTTCTCTCCCATTCTCTATTTAATTGAGATATAATTGACATATATTAGTTTCAGGTGTACAACATAATGATCTGATATTTGTTAGGAAATGACCACCACAGTAAGTCTACCTAACATCCATCACCATGCATAATTACAAATTATTTTTTTCTTGTGATGTGAACTTTTAAGATTTACTCTCTTAGCAACTTTAAATATGCTGTATAGTTTTTACTATAGTCAGCATGCTGTGTATGACATCCTAGTTATTTTATTACTGGAAATTTGTGCCTTTGACCCACTTCACCCATTTCTCCCACTCCCACCCCTCCCTCTGGGAACCACCAGGCTGTTTTCTGAATCTGAGCTTGGAATTTTTGTCTTTGATTTTAGATTTCATATCTAAATGAGATCATACAGTATTTGTCTTTCTCCAACTTATTTTACTTAACAAATGCCCTCCAGGCCCATCCATGTTGTTGCAAATGACAAGATTTCCTTTCTTTTTTATGGCTTAGTAATTCCCCATTGTATATCTGTACCACGTCTTCTTTATTCACTCTCCATCAATGGACACTTAGGTTTCCTGTATTTTGACTATTGTAAATAATGCTGCAGTGAACATAGGATACACATATCTTTTCAAAATAATGTTTTCATTTTCTTTGGGTAAATATTTGTAAGTGGAGTTGCTGGATCATATAGTAGTTCTACTTTTAATTTTTTGAAGAACTTCCATACTGTTTTCCATAGTAGCTCCATCACTTTACATTTCTACCAGCAGTGCTTGAAGGTTCCCTTTTCTCCACATTCAAACCAACACTTGTTATTTCACATCTTTTTGGTAATAGTTATTCTAACAGGTGTGAAGTGATATCTTACTGTGGTTTTGATTTGTTTTTCTTTGATGGTTAGTGATATTGAGCATCTTTTCATGTGTCTGTTGTCCATCTGTGCGTCATCTTTGGAAAAATGGCTGTTTGGATCTTTTGGCCATTTTTTAATCAGATCTTTTTTTGCTATTGAGTTGTATGACTTCTTTATGTATTTTGACTGCTAACTCCTTATCAGTTTTATGATTTACAGATATCTTCTTCCATTCAGTAGGCTGCATTTTTGTTTTGTTGATGGTCTCCTTTGCTGTTCACCCACACCCCTTTTTCCTTCTGTCTTTCCTACATGACTTTATATTCACTTAGAGTCTTTCCACCTACTCCTGCTCTTCTTTTACTCAGCTTCTATTTTATTGAGGTGAAACTTTCCTGTATCTACCTGTGAATGATAAAGGCTTTCTATGTTATTACAGCCTTGTAAAGAGACAGAACTGGGAGGTAAATTAGATTTGGGAGTTCTCAGGCACAAAGGGTTAGGACTGGAATATATAGAGGGGCTGTTTTATTTTCATCCATTTTGGTCAGATTTAAATTTGGCCCTAGGTACCAGCTTGTCACATGATGGATTTCCTGCATTTAGAGGCTTTTTCTTGAAGTTCTACCGTACCCCTCTTCTTGCTCATGAAATGGCTGTGGTGAGCTACAGTGGACCCCAGAGCTTTTGCAGTAGGTGGGGAGGAAAATTGCTTTTAAGGAAGAACATTTTCATTCATATATAAAACAACAGTGGTAGATAGAAAAATGGGGACAATAACTGTATCAGGTGCTAAAAGTAAAGCTTTCAAGCATTTAGTAATTCAGAGAATTAGCTGTTTGGCAAATATACCAGTATCCTTTAGGTCTATCTTGTTTATAAAGTAAGGAATACTTATTTGGGAAAGAAAAATAACTTGTTTTTATCACTTCAGATGCAGAGTAGCAATATAATACTATATTTGGTTTTGGTGGATTGTACATCGTTGGACCCCAAATGATGGTGCAGTCCAAGGACACCCACAGTGTTACCATTTGCAGTTTCTGGCTATTCCCAAAAATGTTTCTTTTCCCTGTATCCATTTTTTCCTTTTTGAGAGATGAAATATGCAGCTGATCAATGGATATTTCGTAGATTTACCCAAGGTAACCAATATTTCATCATTTTTCTGTTTCCTAATAAAAAGTTCTATCTCTAAGAAAAAGAACTATATAGAAAGCCAACATTTGTCAGATGCTGTCCTCAAAGAGTCAGCTTTTCAAAGTGATGTAGCAAGAACAGAACAGGAGGAAGCAAAAACTGCAAAATCCCTTCAGAGCCAAGAGCCTTTTGATAAGATTTTACCACTGGAACAAGTACAAGGTACTGAACCATTAGAAATTATTTCTTAATGTGTGTATTTTAATCTTTTATTTCTCTTTGAACTGGTATTTATCTTAAGCTATAGTCAGTAAACTGAAAATGCTTTGGTTTGGCATTTAATACTTACCTATTAATATGTTTATAATACTGCTTTTATAGGTGAAAGTCTCTTATTAATCTCTCAATTGTCTTTACTGATTAAGCTGAAATCACCTTTCCTTTGGAAATCATGTTGTCTGATGGCCACAGTACACTTTATGTCCAAGACGAGATTGTTTCTAATACATCTTTCACATTTCCCCCACCGACTAATTTGTTTCTTATCAGCAGTCATTTTTATTCCTGAACTTATTTTTATATAAATTGGTGAATTATAAATTCCAAAAGAAATTGCTTTTAAGAAAACCAAGTTGAACACTTTGGAGTCATTTGTCAAATTACATCTGGGAAATAAACTATAAAAATGTGGGGGAAATTGTAAAATTAATAAATTTATAGGCTTCTGCTGTCAGATTGCTTTTAAGTACTCTGTTGTATTTCCTTTAAAGAAGTCAAAACTAGAAATTGAAAACTGTATTCATAGGCTTATGTAGCAACATAAGCTGTGGTTCAGTACTTAGAAGGCCTTGTGTGAGCCCATATTATAAGATTGAGAAAGAATGCACATTTATAAGTTTAACTTAAAAACTTTAAGGGGTATTTGTATTTGTCTTGATGAAAGATGTTAAATATGTATGAAAGTAGAGAGAAATAGTGTTAACTCCTCACTTGCAAGGAATAAAAGAAAAAATAAATTAGAATTCAGAATTGAAAATTTGTGCTTCAAAAGACTCTGTCAAGTCAGTGAAAAGGCAACCTAAAGATGGGAGAAAATATTTGCAAATCATACATATGATAAGGAACTAGCATCCAGAATGTATAAAGAAGTCTTAAAACTTAATAAAAAGACAATCCAGTAATGTAAATGGACAAAGGATTTCAAGACATTTCTCTAAAGAAGTTCTAAAAATGGACAATAAACACATGAAAAGATGCTTAACATCTTCAGTCATCAGAGAAATGCAAATCAAAACCAAGAGATGCTACTTCACACCTTCTAGAATAGCTATAATCAAAAGGTGAAAAATAGCAAGTGTTGATAAGGATGTGGAGAAATTGAAACCCTCATTCATTGCTGGTGGATATGTAAAATGGTGCAGCTGCGGTGGAAACCAGGAAAACAGTTTGGTCTTCAGAATGTCAGTTACCATATGACCCAGCAATTTCAGTTCTAGGTGTATACCCAAGAGAAGTGAAATCATGTGTTCACACAACAACTTGCACATGGATGTTTATAACAACAGTCACAATAGCCAAAAAGTAGAAACAACTGAAATCTGCATCAACTGATGATTGGATAAACAAAATGTAGTATGGCTATACAATTGGCCGTACTAGTTACTCTTCAGCCAAAAAAAAGAGTGGAGTATTGATCTGTACCTTAAAAACACTGTGCTAAATAAAAGCAGCAGACAGACACTAAAGGCCACATCTATCTGATTTACAGTTATCCATAGGTAAATCTATAGATACAGAATAGGCTAATTCATAAAGACAGAAGTAGATTAGTGTCTGCTATAGGAGAATGGGGAATGACTGCTAATGGGTACAGTGTTTCTTTCTGGAATGATGAAAATATTGTGGAATTAAAGAGTGATAATGGTGTACAACCACTGAATTGTACACTTTAAAAGCTTGATTTTATGGTATATAAATTTTATATCAGTTAAAAAAAACTCCCCATGTGTCTATTCTACAGTTTCAGTTAGAATAAGATTTTGTTGTATTTTCTTCATCTCTTTATTTATATTTTTGTTACTTTTTTTCCTGATATTTTAAAATTCCAGATATCATTTTAAACTCCGTATTTTAGTATGCATCTCTAAAAATAGGGACACTTTCTTAATGACAACAGTGCTTTTAACACTGCTAACAAACTTAACAACTCTTTCATTAATATAAAGCACTCTAATTCATATTCAATTTAGTTTGCTTGAATTGGGGTCCAAGGAAGGTTATATTATGATACAGTACATTTCTTGTGTCTTTTAAGTTGGTATCTTACTGAGAAAAGCTAAATCAGTCACCCTGTAGATTGTCCCACTATTTGGATTTGTCAGTCTGCTTACTCATAGTGTCATTTTTCTTGTTCTCTCTTCCCCATACCCTCTATAAAACAGAAGTTAGCTTTAAAGGCTTGATCAGATTCATATTCATATTTGTTGGCATGTGTATAGTTTTTCACACTTCAATCCTAACGTTTTTTTAATTTAACTGACTATAGGTTTTTATATGATCATTTTAAAATGCCTTATTCCATTTAAAGGGAAAATGTTTAATTCATTAATTAGGAATTTCTAACATTCGTAATTTGCTATTTTTAAGTGCTTTAGGTATTTAGTTGATAAAATAACTCAGTTTGTGTTTTTGTTTTAAACAGACTCACCTATTGATTTTTGTTTACCATCATTGATGAATAATAAGAACAAGGTAATCTTTTACATGTCAATTTCTAAAGTGTTATTAGGTGATGAAAATTCCTATTTCATATATTTAAGTGCAAAGTAACACTAATATTAGAAGTTATTTGTAAATAGCAGAAGTCTTACTGCTTCAAGGGAGTAGGAATTTGAGAATAGGGCTGGTCCAGGGGCTGTGTGCTCCAGGACCATTAGGACTGTCTCCACCTCACTGTGTGCTGGCAGTCTCTAGAATGTTGGCTCCATGAAGGAAAGGGTTTCTCTTTGTTTTTATTGTATCTTGAGTGCTTGGAACATAGTTGGCACTCAATAATTTGTTGAATAACAGGGAGGCTGTTTTCATTTGTAGGCAATCCAAGCTTACACTTGTTTAACATTTGTAATAAAAAAAAAAGCATGATCTTTCTTTGATGGTAAATTAATTTTTTTTAAAAAAAGACAACTCTAATGAGCTCTCTTGGGTCTTATGTCCTGCTCTGAGTAAGTCACTGTGTCCAGGTATGCATTGGGATAAAACACTGATTATGATCCTGGACCTTATGTATACTTCTAAGTGTGTGTATACACACATACATGTGCATTTGTGTACAAATATGCCTCAGTAGAGGAATGTGACTGAACTCCACTCAGACCACATGAAGTAAAAAGAGATGGGCTCCTCAAAGGTAGGGGTGCTGAGCAAATAGACATAAACAGTGAACTGGGATTGCAGACCTCTAGTCTTGTGTTTTTGAGTTGGTTATAAAATATAAACTCCTAATAATTATAAAAGGGGAAGGTAATTTTTTTCTCTTCCATAATAATTTTTAAGAATATTTTTGTAAAGTGATTATGAAAGGGCCTAAAGATTTATTTCCTTAGGCTGGGGTTGGCAAACTGTAGCTCATTGTCCTTATCCAGTCTGCTGTGTTTGTAAAGTTTTACTGGAACACAGACATGCTTGTGTCTGTATTGTTTATGGCTGCTTTTGTGCTACAACAGCTAAATTGAGAAGTTGGGACAGAGACTATATAGCTAGCAAAACCTGAAATATTTACTATCTGGCCATTTACAGAAAATGTTTATCAACTTCTCTATATGCATGATGAAACCATTCATAACCTTCAAGTGTAAGGGATGCTTACCTCAAGTATAAGTCAGAAAGCATGATTTCTTGAACATTTAGGAAAAAATGGTTTTTAAAGAGAGAGAACATAACATTTCCCATGGTAGATAACTAATTTTCTTAGGATGGTTGAAAAATTGGTTTCCTAAAAGAATTAGTAATCATTGATAATAAAAGAGAGGAACCATAAAACTTGAAAGCAGCAGAGCAAGTGTACAAACATGAGGTACTTGATAAGAAGGAGATAAAGTAGGGGCAGGAGAGAAATAAATCCATTAGAAAACCTTGACTCGGTGGGAGGGGGTGCCAAGGCTGCATTTGACTGTGGACCCACCTTTGACTGTCCTGGAAGCCAAGGCAGTGAAGGAGGCATGTTTTTGTAGGTCTCATTGTCTAAACAGTATGGGTTACACTACTTAATCACAGTAGAGACGTTTTCCAAGGTCCTTAGTTTCATTGGCCCATGTGTGGCACCAAGCATGGTAGAGTGCGTGCAGTTTCCAATAGCAGATGTGACTAAAAAGGCAGAAATGTTTTACATATTCTTTCTCACACAGATTTTTCCCTAATTTTTAATTAAAATTTTCAAAAAACAAGAGCTTATATCCCACAATAGTAGTAGCCCATGGTGCCCCAAAGGCATAACACAGCACCATCCTCTGTAAGTGTAACTGCATTGAGAGCCCATGTTTTTAACTTAAAAATTAGTATGCTTTTTGAAATCTAATTCTTAGGTACTATCTTTTAAATACTTAATATGATTGTGAAATAAAGCCCATACTTAGAAGGGAATGTTTCATTTTATTCTGAGCCTTGAGTGTCCTAATACACAACTGAATTTGTGCTGGGCTCAAATTTATTTGTGTATTAGTATACTCACTATATTACTAGATCCTCTGAGTATGTTCATATAATCTGAGACCTTAAATTTTAAGGATGTTTTATTGGGTGGGTCTAGGGAGGGAGGTGGCATGGGAGCAAGAATGAAGTTGTTAATACATATCAAACAACTAGCCCTTCTTTGCCTAAATTGTGAATATCGAGCATGGTGGTCCTTTTTTCAGCCTTGTTTTATGGTCTTCAAAGCAATGAGTGTGTTCCTCTTTCTCTCATTTTATTTCTTACAGATTGTCATTCCTGATGCTGTAAAACATTTTGAAGATAAGAATCCAAACGATGACTTAAGCCATACTAGTTTATTAGAAAATGAGAAACTTATGTCACTGACGAGCTTGGAAGACTCTTCTGGTATGTAAAGTACCTCATGTTTTCCTGGTCCTTACCTTGCTGCTGGCATCTTTCTACTCCTCTGTTGCAATGGTTGTTACACCAGCTTTTTGTGTTTTTTTTTTTTTTTTTTTTTTTTTTGCCTCCTCCTTTACCTCCTACTCAGCAGCACTCAAATGGCCCCTTCTGTTAAGTGATTGGATTTCTAAAACTTGTTTCAGTTTGTCAGTCCACATACGATTTATGTTCATCCCTCAGTTTAGGATCATTAAGGTACAAAGGAGTCACCTTAGGTGCCACTCAGTGTAATGCACTGTGTTAAGAAATAGGGGGCACAATGAAATATTTAGCCTCTGCTCTCTAAAAGATCGGCTAAGTGAGAAAAGCAACATACAGCAGAACTCCAATTATATTAAGCCTATCTCAGTAGTACAAATTGTGCAGGAATCATAGGAGGGGGACAAGTTAATTTTGATTGAGGAAGATATCTGACGCTTTATTGAAAGAGGATGCGACTTTTCCTCTTTCTTGAAAAGGCCCTATGGTAGCTCTTAACAGATATGGGAAGAGAAGTACATTTCAGGAAGGGGGAGCAGCTTCAGTAAACACCCTAAAGTAGGGGCATACAGACTGTTTTGGGGCTATTGCCAGTGGTTTTGTGTGGCAGATGTACCGCACCTGTAGGAGGCTGAATAGGGGAGTAAATCCAGAAAAGTAGGCAGGGACCAAGTGCATGGCTTTGAAGACCTGATGAGCTGAGTGGGATAAATAGAAACTACAAATTCAGGGCAGATTTTGCTGCCAAAGTATTTAGATATTTTTGGATTATTGAATTGTAGATAGGAAATTGTTGACCTGAATTTGTAGAGAACTTTGTTTTAGTAGGCTAGATTCTTCAAGGCCAAATAGCTTAAGTCAAAGGCTATGAGCATGTTTAAGGCTCCTATTGAGCATAAGACTATCCTTTAGAAAGGCAGTAGCAACTTAACAATACCATTAGTTTTAACTTGCCCTTGCCAGGCTGAGTGTTAGAACATTGAAAACCACTGCTAGTGTTTCTTTGTTTATTTGCAACTTTTTGGTTTTGATGGAGGCTGAGTATTTTTGAAACATATCAGTGTTCAATTTGTTGTTTATTTTTTCCTTAATTGCTTCTTCCTCAAGCTCATATATTTGTTTAACGTTTCATTTTTATACTTAACCATTAATTCACCTAGAATTTATCTTTACTTTTCCTATGATAAGCTAATCTAAACTTTTTTAATAGTTACTGATTTGCCACACCATTTTCTGAATGATCTGCCCTTTTCCCACTGCTCTCAGATTCACATTTATTATATTCTAACTTTTGATATATGCTAGGATTTGTTTTTTGTGCTGACAAAGGTTAAATACTCAGTTTGTATTAAAATGTTCATAGTGATTTTATAGACTGAAATTATAATAGTTTTCTCACATCAAATGTTAAAATCACATAGACCATTGACCCGTATGTTTTATCAGCCTTTTTGATTAAAAATTATTTATACTTTGGTCAGTACATAAAACCTGTCCTGTTTTTTCCCCATTTTACCATTAGATGATGATATCGATGATGATGAGTTTTATGATGATCATTTGGAGGCTTATTTTGAGCAACTGGCTATTCCAGGAATGATATATGAAGACCTAGAAGGACAGGAACATCCAGAAAAAGATTTTAAGTTACCTACAAGTGATCCTTGTCAGGTGTGTTCCTATCTTTATTGAAAGAAATTTGGCATTAGAAAATTATTGCTACTCTCATTGGATATTGGCATAAATTTAGCTTTTGGTTTTCTTTGGACTCTCTTTTTCCCAGATACAAGCTGATGAGAAATACCTTTCCTGTCTTTTCCTGCTTCTTACCTTTCTCTCACCTACAGAAAAATTAAAGAACGATAGCATGAACATCTATATATCCCTCATTCAGATTAACCAGTTGTTAACATTTTGCTGTCTTTGCATTTTCTTTGTTCTTCCATAAGTTTTTCCTGAATCATTTGAAAGTAAGTCGCAGAGACATTTCACCCCAGTATTTCAGCATTTATCTACTGAGAATAAGGACATTTTCCTATATAATCACAGTTCTATTAGCTAACTTTGGTATAGTAATTTAAATGACTCTACAGTCCATATTTACATTTATCCAGTTGTCTCCAAAATGTCCTTTATTTTTATTGTTTTTGATCCAGAGTTTAATCAAGGATAACACTTGCATTTGATTGTTATGTGTCTTTATTTTCTTTCAATTTGGAGTAGTTCTTTTGTGTCATTAGGCTTTATAAAATCTAGGCCTGTTTTGTAAAATGATCCATAAACTAGATATCTCTGATTACTTTTTCCTTTCTGGTTAGATTAAACTTCTGGGTGAGAATTCAGAATCTCTTTCTCATTAAGTAAATTAAGATTAAACATAGGTGAATACTTTCCATTGGAAGTTGTATACTTCCCATTGCATCATGTCAGTGGACATATGAGTCTGTCCTGTTGGTATTTCTGTGTTTGATAATCTTGGTTAATGTGGTATCAGCAAGGCGTCTCCTTGTGAAGGTGCCTTCTTTCTCCCTTTGCTGTCAATAAGTAATCTGTGGACTGATACATTGAGGTCGTGTGAACATCCTGTTCCCTGACCTTTTACAAACTGGTTTTAGTATCATTGCTGAGGCCTCCCAGAAACAATTATTACATTGGTGGTTACAATGGTGATTTTTTCCAATTCCTCCTATATTAATTACCTGGCATCCTTCTGTAAAAAAGACATTTTCTGCTCCCCATGTTTCCCCACTAAAAATGTTTGCTTTTAATTAAACAAAATAATAAAGCGAATAATTCTTTCAACAGGCAAATGAAAACAGTATTTTAAGCTGTAAATTTCAATCAGAGAATAGTAGTTCTCTGATTTCCAATGGCTCACAGTCTTTGGGAAGTTCTGAAATGAGCCACAAAGAGTCTGAGGAAGGCCGTGTTGTTTGTCTACCTGGGACCAGTAAGTATTGAAAAATGACTCTTGTTTCAATTCTGTTTGAATTGCTTTTTTAAAACAAAAAAATAATTTCTTTAGTATGATTTAGCATCATTAACCCTTCTATCCTCTCTAAAATCTCTAGAAAATCTAGAACTTTGCAAAAGAGCTTTTAATAATGTCTCAGTACATTGGTATTGTTAAAAATACTGTACCTTATATTTCTTGCATTGTGTATTACATATGATGGTGTTCTATTCATACATTTGAGATTTAGAAATGAATTCCCTGTATGTTAGCAGTTTGTCTCCTTTACTTTGCCTCTTACTGGTGTTTATTTTCTCTAGTATGCAAATTGCTGTATTTGTCACATGAATGCTAAATATTAGGTTTACATAAAATAATTTGAATAGCAAGAAGCAGTTATAATATACTGAAACTGACATTGCATCATTAATTTTTTTTCTTATTTTTCAGGTAATTCTTTAGGTACTGGAGATAGTAGAAGGCATGTAGATGGGGTGTTTTCCTCTAGTACTTGGAGAATTGACAAAGAGAAACAAAGAGCAGAAAACTCAAAGAGCGTTGTTCCACACCAAGGCAGAGTAAGTTTATATGCATTCTTTAAAAATATTCTGTGAAAGGGATAAACACTCTTGGTACGGTATCACTATTTTTCAACCAACAATTTTTGTCTTCTGAAAAATAAACAAGTATTTTAAGAAATCCCTACTGATAATATTTCTATGTGTATGTTTTTATCTTTGATATCACTAAGGTCATTAAATATACATTGTATACATATGCTTAAATTTAAATATTCAATGACTTACTGTCATTTATATTATTCATTTGAAAAAGTCTTTAGCTTAGTGTTGAAATACAAAAAGCAAATTGATCACCTTTAACCTCACTTACGCATGTTTTTCTTCAATTCTTCTCTGTTAATGTTAATCTTACCCCATTACTTCTGTGCTTAAAACTTGATAGTCATTTCTGTCTCTTAACCAACTCTTTATCCCCTTTTTAAAAGTAAAATCTGCCTCAGGATTGTGTGATGATTTTAATTTAGGAGGAGTATCTGTGCTTGTATAGAGAGAGACGGTTGTATCCTTATAGTAATTCTTCGTATTAAACCAGCAAGTTATGATGGAACTGTTATGGGACTGTGTATTAGATTTATTCTTTCCTGTTTACTTCCTCTACCCCTACTCAAGCTCATGGTGCTTACTTCCACATGTCTGATTTGTTGCCTCATCTACAGTATTTTTACCATTCCATTATATTTGTCAACACCAGGTTAACCTTGTTAAAGTGGTGCAATAGTCTCCATGTCTCTGTGTTTCAAATTAAGAATCCTTAAACTGCTTTATAATCTGGCCCCATGTTAATCTGTCTTTCTCTTGTATATTTCTCCTACAAATCATTGTTCTTACTTTTTTCTTTCCCTAGTCCAGATTATAATCTTTCCAGTTTTAGGTCAAGTCCTTGGTTATTTTTCAGTAACCCCTGACTAGATTAATTTGTCTGAATTTCTATTACAGTGATTTTATTCTACCTTATAAAATATTATATATAGGAATATTTTCCTCATCCAGAAGCTGCCTATTCAGCAGCTTCAAAAATTTGTTACTCATTAGAGGAAGCAGTTATGTACAAATATAGTACAAAGCCCCTTCCCTCAGGTAAGCAGAACAGGTGTTCAGAGTTAATGGGTTTGTCCTCCTTAGGACAGTGCTGTGGATGCTTAGTCATATGTATAATAGTTGTCTGACAATATGGACTGATACTTCTCATATATTAACAGGGTCCAGCCCTCAGCTAATTAGAGGTAACCAATCAAGAAAGAAAAGGAAGACAGCATCTCTTAATCATTTTGACTTTATCAAAATGTAATAGTTGATAAATCTTTTAAAATTGTGTTGCGGTCTGTTTTAAATTGATTGTGTTGCAGTCTGTTTCCCCTTTTAATTCTGTTAGTATTTGTTTAATATATTTAGGTGCTCCTGTGTTGAGTGCATGGATATTTATAATGGTTATATCCTCTTGTTGGATTGACCCCTTTATCATGTTATACCCTTCTTTGTCTCTTGTTACTTTCTCTGTTTTGAAATGTATTTTGTCTGACATAAATTATCATTGATATACAATCTTATGATGGTTTCACATAAACAGCGCAGTGGTTTCAACATTCACCCATATTATCAAGTCCTAAACCCTCCATTGCGCTGACAATATAGTGAGATATTACAGAGTCAGCAGTTGTCTTCTCTATGCTGTACTTCCATCCCTGTCACCTGACCTACTTATATTCTGAATGAGAATTATAGTGCCACTTAATCCCCCTCTCCCTCCCCACCTCCTCCCCACCCACGCTCCCCAACCCCTCCCCTTTCATAACTGCTAGTCCTTTCTCAGTGTCTGTGAGTCTACTGCTATTTTGTTCCTTCTGTTTTGCTTTCTTTTTTATACTCCACAAATGAGTGAAATCATTTGGTATTTGTCTTTCTCCTCCTGGCTTATTTCACTGAGCAGAGTACCCTCTAGATCCATCCATATTGTTGCAAATGGCAGAATTTGTTTTCTTTTTATGGCTGAATAATATCCCATTGTGTCTGTGTACCACATCTTCTTTGTCCATTCATCTATGTATGGACACTTTGGTTGCTTCCATGACCTGCTGTGTACTTTCCTCTCAGAATTGCCTTCGCTGAATCCCACAGGTTTTGGGCTGTTGAGTTTTTGTTTTCATTTGTCTCCATGTATTGCTTGATCTTTCTTTTAATTTGATCACCAGTCCATTGATTATTTAGGAGCATGTTGTTAAGCCTCCATGTGTTTGTTGGCTTTTTTGCTTTCTTTATGTAATTTATTTCTAGTTTCATACCTTTATGGTCTGAGAAGCTGGTTGGTACAATTTCAGTCTTTTAAAATTTATTGACACTCTTTTTGTGGCCTAGTATGTGATCTATTCTAGAAAATGTTCCAAGTACACTTGAGAAGAATGTGTACCCTGCTGCTTTTGGGTGGAATGTTCTGTATATATCTGTTAGGTCCATCTGTTCTAATGTATTGTTCGGTGCCTTTGCTTCCTTACTTATTTTCTGTCTGGTTGTTCTGCCTATTGGTGTGAATGGGGTGTTAAAGTCTCCTAAAATGATTGTGTTGTGGTCTGTTTCCCCTCTTAATTCTGTTAGTATTTGTTTCATATATTTAGGTGCTCCTGTGTTGTGTGCATAGATATTTATAATGGTTATATCCTTTTGTTGGACTGACCTCTTTATCATGTAATGTCCTTCTTTATCTCGTTACTTTCTCTGTTTTGAAATGTATTTTGTCTAATATAAATACTGCTACTCCTGCTTTTTTCTCCCTATTATTTGCATGAAATACATTTTTCTGTCCTTTCGCTTTTAGTCTGTGTATGTCTTTGGGTCTGAAATGCGTCTCTTGTAGGCAGCATATAGGGTCTTGTTTTTTTAATCCATTCTGCCACTTTGTGTCTTTTGCTTGGTGTGTTCAGTCCATTTACATTTAAGGTGACTCTTGATCAGTATGTACTTATTGCTATTGTAGGCTTTAGATCTGTAGTTACCAAAGGTTCAGGATAGCTTTCTTACTATTTAACAGTCTGTCTTAAATTGCTGATTACTTTATTTCAAACACTGTCTAAAGGTACTTTTTTTCCCTCCCTTTCTACCTTCTTTTCCACCCTTTATATATTAGGTGTCATATGTGTACCCCCTGACTAACTTTGTGAGTAGTTGATTTAATTTTGTATTGGCTTAGTAATTAATTGGTCTACTACCTTTACTGTGGGTTTATTTTCTCTAGTTGACAGCTTTTTAGCCTTAGCATTTCCATCAAGAACAGTCCTTCTAACAGATCCTGTAGGGATGGTTTAGTGGTGGTGAATTCCCTCAACTTTTGCCTATCTGGAAATTGTTTAATCCTTGCTTCAAATCTAAATGTTAATCTTGCTGGGCAGAGTATTCCTGGTTGGAGGCCCTTCTGTTTCAGTACATTAGATAAATCATGTCACTCCTTTCTGGCCTGTAAGGTTTCTGCTGATAAGTCTGATATAGCCTGATGGGGTTTCCTTTATTAGTGATCTTCTTTCTCTCTCTGGCTGCTTTCAATATTTTTTGCCCTTGATCTTTGCCGTTTTAATTATTATATGTCTTGGTGTTGTCTTTAGGTTCCCTTTGTTGGGTGATCTTTGTGCTTCCATGAACAGACTATCTATTTCCTTCCCCAGATTGGCAAAGTTTTCAACACTTATTTCCTCAAAGAAATTGTGGAAATTTCTATCCCTTTGTGTCTCTCTTCTTCGTCTGTTACTCCTATGACGTGAATATTGTTCTGTTTGGATTGGTCACACAGCTCTCTTATTATTCTTTTAGTCCTTGAGATCCTTTTTTCTGTTTTTCAGCTTCATTGTTTTCTTGCTCCCTAATTTCCATATCCCCTACAACTTTTTCAACCTGTGTAAGCCTGCTATTAATTTCTTCCATTGTATTTTTCATTTCAGATACTGTATTCTTCAGTTCTGAGGTACTGTTTCGGTGGTCTTCTTTTTGTTGAGGCCCTCCCTGAGATCTTGAATGTTTTTCTGTAGATCCATGAGCATGTTTATAAGTTTGACTTTGAAGTCTTAATCAAGAAGATTGGTGATTTCAGTTTCCCTAAGACCTCTTTCTGGTGTTTTTTTTCTTGTAGTTTCATTGGGACCAAATTTCTCTCAGTCATTTTTTTTTTTAGTACTTCCTGTGGAATAATAGTTTGTTTAGGAGGTAGTCTCTAGTGCCCAGAAGCTCAATTTCTTGTGTAGAAGCCCAGCTTTCGGTGTGCAGTGGGTGCGGCACCTTTCAGTGGGTCTGGCTTGTAGTAGTCTAATTTCAGGTGGGCTGTGTGTGCTGTCAGCTTATTGCACAAGCAGGAAGAATACTTGGGGCCATGCTGCTGGAGCTGCCATGGGCGTGGCTGCCTTCCCTCCAGCTTGCTGCAGTGGTGGGGGCCGCAGGAAGTGGGACCAGTGCCAGCTGGGAGTAAAGAGGTTAGCTGGGAGGGCTTCCTGCCTTCCCGGCTGTAACCTCTGCCTTCACTGCCAGGTCAAGTGGGCAACGCACCCAGGAAGGAGCCCCAGTGCTGCACCACTGAAACCAACCTCTAGCCAGCCTGCTGCAATGGTGGGGGCAGCAGATGAGCTGGACCAGCTCCTGTCAGGAGGAAGGAGCAGCAGGCTGTGCACCACAGCAGGAAACCTTGGGGCTCAGTTGCCAGGAAGGGGGATGGAGCATCTGAAGCTCCTGAGAGTTCCCAACCTGCTAGGCTGAGGGTGGGCTGGGGAGGTACTGTCCATCTGCCCTTTTTCCTGAGCGGAGAGCTCTGTGTAATCTTTGCCCCTCTAGTGCCCCTCCCTCTGCTGGGAAGTCCTTCAAACTGCCTGCTCTGCTTTTGTCTTGGGGCCAGTAGAGTGTACCTGTTCTCCACAAGTGGTTGGAATCTCAGTCTCTCTGAGTGTTCCTCCTATCTCTGTTGTCCAGCCCCACTAACCTCCAGAGCACCTTGTAATGTGGGTTCATGTTCCTGGAGCAGATCTCCA